ACCTCCCTCCTGCTGCTGCTGCTGCTGCGGTGAGAGAGCTGCAGCAGCAGCAGCAGAAAGCGACAGGGCCACTCCACACACCAGCACAAAATGGCCTGAGGATAACACGCAGGAGTCGGTGCTGCATCAAGTCCTTACTCTCGCCAACCTAAACCCTAAACCCTAAACCCTAAACCCTAAACCCTAAACCCTAAAACCTAAATCCTGAGCACTAAGCGGCAAAGCACAAGCCTTATGCCCAGAAAGCGGCCGCATTAGGGACCAGTCCAAACCCGGCCACAAACCCTAAACCCTAAACCCTAAACCCTAAACCCTAATGAAGTCAGTCTAGACCGCAGCCGCAGCCCCCCGCGCATGCGCCCCGTCTTGAGGGCGCAAGGAGGCGCCTGGGCGGGCCGGAGGCGGGCTGCGGGCCTCTCTACAACCTAGGATTTAGGCTCTAGGGTTTAGGGTTTAGGGTTTAGGGTTTACCGTCGTACTGGGTGCGGGGCACTGCGCGCAGCTCCCGCGCCCCCAAACGGCCCCCGTCCAGCAGCACAACAGCAACTCTTCCCTGCAGCAGCTCGTGGGCCAGTTGGGCCCTCGAGACTCTTCTGCGCAGCAAAACAAAAACAAAAAAATAAAAAAGTACCCAAAACACTCTTCTAAAACCCCTTCTAAACCCTCTCTCAACTCAAGTAAACCCAGGGGCCCCCTTGGCCCTCATTCGCCTTTTTCAGGCCTAATAGGGGCCCCCTTATACTTGATAAAGGCCACTGGGGCCCCCTGGGGGCCCCTCAGGGGCCCCCAGGAGGCCCTTGGGCGGCCGTTGGGGAGCTTTTGAAGAGCCCCTCGGGGCCCCTAGGGGGCCCCTAGGAAGCCCTTTTAAAGAGCGCTGAAGCGGTCCCTAGGGGACCCCTAGGGGGCCCCCAAGAACCCCGGAGGGGGCCCCAAGTTGGCCGCTTCGTGAGCCCGCAGGGCCCCTGAGTGGGGCCCCCGGGAGCCCGCAATAAGCCCTGACGGGGGGCCCTTAAGGGGCCCCAAGGGCCCTCAGGGGGCCCCCGGGGGGCCGCGCAGACGGGCTTCAAGTATTACCTTTTCTGGATTTGGAGTCCAATTTTTCGGGCCCTTTTGAAGTTTGCTGCTACTCTTTTGGCCTCTTTGTCGAAGGCTTGAGGCGCGTCAGAAAAGGATTTGTAGAAGGGCTGAAAAGGCGCAAAAAGAGACACTTTCGGGTGTACGTACACCCCAGCCCTTCGGGTGTACGTACACCCCAGCCCTTCGGGTGTACGTACACCCCACCCCTTCGGGT